ATATATTTTGTGCATATTCATTTGTCCTAGTTAAACTATAGTTGTTTATAGAACACCGGAATACATATTCAAAATTAAATTCATCATGCCACATCAGGGATACTTCAAATTAAGTGTTATCCTCATTTAAAACCTGCGGTTTAGCGTTTCTGTCTAACGGATAATTCATCAACCAAATAGTACTGTTAAGTGTAGTCTACGTGCAGGAAATGCATTGAATTTTAAGGCTTATATGCCACGACTCCATTTTTATTTCGATCCTTATCAATTCCTTGATGCTGAAATCTTGATTGTTCATAGGACTTGAATTTTGTTTCCAAATGTTGACTCTATCTTGCTTTAAAAAACTTAAGATATTTACTTCCAGAAGTTATTTTTCGTGCGTAAAACTTGTTCTTAATTTCCCAATAAATATTGGTATCATCGATGATCTATCTGATTGTGGTGAACTAGACTGTACGGCAAACCATGTTTAATGAGAAGAGAGTCATGCGTTGGACCAACAAAAAACCCCTGGGAAATCTGGATTTGGCAGATGATTTATGTTGCATGTTGCACAAACTCAAAGATATATAGGCGAAAACCAACAAGTGATCAGAAGAGGCAGTGAATACATCAACTCAGATAAATATAGAGAAGACAGAGGTGATGAACACAACCGATCAACAACCAGCAAGTAGCATTCATCATAAATGGAACAGATCTAAAGTAAATAGTCTTTTCCACTTATCTCTGTAGCAGTGTCTCAACTACAGGTGGCATTGATGTGGAAGTCTGGAGATCAAAATAGACATTCATTACACTGAACTAAGCGTGGAGGTACCTAGCAATCAGCACAGTGAACAATCAAATATTCAAGACTAGTGGGAAATCGGTGTTTTTATGTGGTTCAAAGGCTTGGTGAATCACGGAAAGCATTTTCAATAGACTCTTTCAAACTTTCACCTACAGCTGACTTTGCTGCTTCGATACTGAACATCAGAGGGTCAGACGGAAACTGTTCAGCAGTATTTAACACCAGGTCCTCGATTGGAACCCCAAAGGGAAGTGAAGAGTTTCTTCTGAGTCTGCATGTGGTATGGAGGAAATAATGTGTAAAGGGAATGAAAAATTGCGGGCAGTCCTTGAAACAGATGGTAGAGAACTGGGTACAATGAAGATGTGCTACTGAAGCCCTACTTTCTTCTCTTAACGGAACGGATGAATATTAATAACAACTGAAATTTTTTCACCCTTACTTTAACAATATTTTTATGTTTACACTAAGGCCGAAATAATAGTTCTCAATATTGTCTATTAAAACAATGCTACACCCCTAGGATTTGCGTGATCATAACCGTAAGATATTGTTTTTTTCCGAATTATTTATTTCAATATAATTACAGCTTAACACACCTGAACATCATTATGTGATGTTTTAAAATCGTTAACTAAAATTGAGGCAAATACATGAGACTAAACTGTTAACTCTGTGAGTGTATTTTTGTGCTTCCTACTGAGAAAGCTAACTTCATATTTCATTTTTTCTAACCTACTGCCATTCCGATTGCATGAATAAGCAAATAAGTATTTGCTTTACAATAATCATAGATATCCATATTCTAATTATCGATTATTTTCAAGCCTTCATTTTTTGTATGATTAGTTACAGACCTATGCTTCCTTTATCTTAGGCGCTCTGTTTTCACATAGTGGATTAATATTATCTTCACCGTTTGTGTTGAGTTCTTGTGAAGTATGGGAACCTCTGTCCCTACTTGACTATGATACCATTTACAACTTTAGTTATGTTCCAATCTTTTATGTGATTGTTTGTGATCACGAGTATATGGATAGGTGAATTTATTCTCAGACTGCTTACTTTTCTCAGATTTATAACTTAACATCAAACGGAATTTCTATGGTATGATAGCCTTACTAATTGTGTGAACAGTTGTTTTGACTAATAGCCCCTAACCTGATGTTTGGCATATCACAACCACCCTACGAGCAATGCTGGTTGGAGTGATGTTTCCTGCAGATCCTATTCTACCAGAAAGATCTCTTGGATAGTGATTAGACTAAAAGCAACGTAAGTTGTTGACACGTTGTTGGGAGTCCTAGGGCGAAGCCGTACTAATGGATGACAAGCAAGCAATACTGGCTCTGCACTCTGGAGAAAACTGGTTAAAAAAGGCCCTGTAAGCTATACTTCCTGGTTTACTTTGCCGCGATTTCTGGCCTACAACAAGGCTTTCATGAGGACATGACCCTAAAAGCCACTCCAAAGAGATCATATCTGACCCATCTCAAGTAGTTGCACTCTGTTTTAATAATAATAATCTAATTTATTCCAAAAACAGTACTTATAATACAGAATGGAATTCTCACTTCATCTGCTTGACTTCGTAGACACTGGAGGGTGTTTATAAACTATTATATTTAATCAGGTTAAGAGAATCGTTGTATATTAACACCATGGAGAACTTCGGTTTCTTTCGATTCTTATTGTGATAACTATATCTATTACTACCTGTTATATTTCTTATGAGTTGTAAAGTGAACACTTTGGGTTAGTTACTCATCAGTAGTGCTCCCCTTATCTGTTTGGTTTTATTTTTATTTAGGCTTTTTGATGAACTGCTAAGAATTCTGGCTTACTTAGTGAAACTAAGTTTAATCTTCAACTGAACAAGCCTGAGAACATAATAGGGTCGTAATAAGGAGATAAAACTCGGAAACGCCTATCACCAGACACAACCTAAGGACACAATGCAAACCGAAAAGTCCACAACACATCTGATAAGATTTATTCCTAGTAATATTAGTAAAGTAATAATAATAACATTGATCTTCAGCTCTGGTGAAGGTGTGAAAAATTGCTCGATCAGTTATACGAAAGAATCAACAAAGATTAGTAAAAGTCGTGGAGTCTACGAAAATGCACATTCATAACTAAACAATGTTATAGCCACATAGAAGAGAAATACCAAAACAAATCGATTGAAGAGACAAAGACAACCAATCAGAACGAAGGTCGTAAATACTAAAAGTACATAGAGGTAAAAGCATTAATGACTCACGAATACCGGAAGACTCAGTAGTGTGGTAGACATATAGATTACCGATACTTCTGGTTTCTCTCATACAAGAGAGGCATAATAAGCAGGTATTAGAAGCTTATAATTTAGTTTATTTCATCCTTCATCTAACTGACGTGTCCAAAGCATTTCTGTTATCGCAATTTATTCACCACAATTTTCATTCTTTTTACATTGTTCAGTCATGAGTGAATCGGTTTCTTTGTCATCTAGAATTATAAATTCAACTTTTTTTCCAGTGACACAAACTGCATCTATCTGATGACTAAGCTGAATTTAAAAGGAACTCAAAATTACTTGGAGTTTTGAGAAGCCATTTAAATTACCGGTGAATAAAAGTGTATGTGGTTTCTAAATAACGTGAAACACAATAACTTAAATTCTTGTGTATTTGTATTGGTTTCAACTATGTGTTAAATGTCTACTATAAATGAGAGTTACTCTTAGTGAAGAAAAATGAATTGTTTAAGAATAGGAAGGAAACAAACCCTTGAGCGTTTCAATGGTTTCATCTACTGTATCTTTACAATCTTAATTATGTGTTTTTTTCACTGCTGGGATTTTTTTCAGTCTTTTAAATTTTTGCTTCAAGAGAAACTTATTAAAATATAAGAAAATCAAAAGATCTAAAAATGCCAGAGTATTAGTTAAGATGTAGTAGGCGTTTCTTTTCGGTATCTTATTTTAAGAGAGTAATATATTTTCAACTGTTGTGTTGTAAGGATTTGATTGATTCCAAATTAGATCAATAATTGACATCGTTTAGAGAACTACTGCTGAACATCTTTTTCGTCCTGGTTCGGGGGCTCTGCTGTAGTAAGTACCTATGATCCCTCTGTAGATCACGAGTCATTGACTACGGGATGAAGTCCATGTAATTTTAGTGAAAAGTTGTAACCAATGGAGGCTGACAGTGACTCTTTTGTAGCGCGAACTAGCAGAGATTCGAATTCATGGGCTAAGCTATTCCATCTCAGTCGTTGAGTCGTCAACAGACCGCCCTCTAACCTGAAAATTTTAAATTCAAATAGACAGCATACGGAGACGCTAAAGATGTCTTTTTCTCATACAATCTCCTAGTTTCCCTAGGAACTTTTCTCAATGAATTTTTGTAAATAGCTTTAAAATAAGTTGTTGAGATTAGATGGTTAGTGTCTAGATGTTTAGTTATCTCACAGCTATCTATTTGTAGCCAAACACAACAGCGGTCATGAACACTTAAGAAACAGAACAGATAAACTGATTTAAGTACATGGAGCTGGATAGATACAGGAACTTGTCAGCTGGATTGTTAAAAAATAGGCGGTGACTAAGAAACACAATACTTTCAACTTTATTGTAACGCTATTGTTCCCTCCTCTGAGTTTATTGTCTTTATCTTTAAGATGTCAGCGGTTAATTCATTTTTTTTTCAGTCGAAGTTTCGCCTTTATGCCATAATATTGTGCTACGAAGTATCCAGTGTACTTTCCTCAAACAGACGAATAGATGAGTTTACTTAGTGCTTTCCATTCTTCGGAATTAAAAGAGTAAACACGAAAGGCAAGAGAATGTTACTCAAGTGTTGGTTTGTAGGGATTTGATTGGTTCCAGGATTTCATCATGAGCTGACATTAGTTAGAGAACCATTGGAAAACCTGGGAGTACTGGACAGCTGTTTCGTCCTAGTTTGGGACTCTTCAGCAGTACGGACCCACCAGGTTTTCCAATGGTTCTCTAACTAATGTCAGCTCATGATGAAATGCCAAAAGAATGTTACTCTGATTATTCTTCAACATAAGTCTGACTTATGTTTGATAAAGAGGTTTTAATTTCTTATCGTAAAACTTTCCATGGTTTCAATAATTTTTCTAAGTATTTTTTGCCGTTGAAAATAAAATTCATTATCATACTTTTGTTTTGTTATTTTCTGTTTTCTAGTGATGCCGCTGAGACTCCAAATACTGTGAGTTCATTTGCTAAACATTTTATTTCAAGCATATTCATAATATTTAATGTAAACACTCATGTATATATTACTAATTGTTTCGTTTTACAAAATGAATCTGTTTTGTTAACATTTATCAAATTTTATCAGTCAATTGATGAAATTAGATAAGACATGAACACCGGTGATTCCTATTTTTCAAGCGTTGATTTGTAGAGACTTGGTCAATTTCAAGTTTCATCAAGAACTGACCTTGGTTAGAGAACCACTGGCGATCAGGGAGAGCTGAACGCTTGTTTCGTTCTAATTTGGGACTCTTCAGCACACACACACCTATGACACCGCCTTGTATTGAACCCATGACCTTCATGTTAACAGGTGATCTCTTTGACCATTTTTCATCCAATGGCCAGTGAATTCTAACTTCTGCCAGCTAATGTCAATGGCAAGTATTTTTCCTAACACTGAACTTGGTGGTCACGAATCACTGTTTTTACATCAAAGAAATATCATCTATAACAGCTTACCTTTATCTCATGTTTTCGTTATTTTCTTTGACAGTTTCAGAAATTTTTCCCCTTTCCCATAAACATGAAAAATGTGTCTTTTTTGCGTTAACATCTTTGAGTACACTTAAAATTATGAAAAACTTATTTGTTAGCATTTGCTGGTAATCTGATTCGAAACTGGTGGTTGAATGTTCAACGTACTCACCTCGTAACCTTATCGTTCCAAGGTCGATCCCCTCAAGGATCATGTATGCACACTGATGAAGAGTCCCAGTTTTGGACAACATTTTTGTGCATTGCTTCCTTGTTCCCAGTGATTATCTAAATGATGTCATTTCATGACAAAAGCTACCATGCAATTGATTCAGAATTATATTATTTGAACATGATCCAATTTGAAATTGTTAGTGTTTCAGTGAAAGGAAGAATTATACTTCTGTGAATTAGAAATAAATTCCTTCCTTCTGGATAACCAACTTAACAGTTATTGTCAGAAGGCTTTGTTTACATTCCTTGAGTTCCGATTGGATCACAGGGCAAGGCAAGCATTATGCCTAGGAAAACTACTAGATAATAAACTAGGTGAGGTTTAGTAGTGCATTGATCGAAAACCGAACAGGGATTGCGTGTATGGTTGGCAAACATCATATCAAATATTCATCATCTCAAGAGTACTGTCGCCATATTTCTGTTACATTTGTAGGTGACAAACAGGTTTCCTTGGTTTAGTGGATAAAATTAAAAATAGTTTCCTTTATTTTAAATTACTCACACCATAGTTTTCATATCATTTGTGTTATAGTTTCAGTTGTAAACATCTCATCTTGAAGTTATCTCTTCATACACGTTAAAGGCGGCAACCGTCATTATTTTTGGCATAAAATCTGTCTAAAGTTGACAGAAACATTTTCTTATTTTGCACATAAGCCACCATTTCACCCACCTGTTGGGCAGCAGAAGTTGATTTCACTTTGCTAATTGTAGGTTCGTTGAATTGGATGAATACTGATTATTGTTATTATCATTGGTAATAGTATTAGTATTCTACCCTTATATTCAGAGTGAAACAGAGGGTTTCTACAGCACATCTTCGTTTCACTCTGTTCTCTACTGTCCTTTTTAGCTGGCTGTACAACTGTTCACAGACTTCCATTTCCTTTTGACATACTTTCCAAAATAAAACCTTCAGACGTCCAACTGGTTACTGCCTATTCGAGTTCTGCTATATTGCATGTCATGGGATATTCGGTATTGACATCATTCTATTGTATCTTATATCATATTACGCATAAAGTCTTTTTAATACGATTAATTTTAAAGTGTTGATTTGTTGGGATTTGATTGTTTTCGGGGTAGGGGTTCTTATCATTTGATAACAGTTAGAGAACGAATGAACCACTGAAAACGGAGTATCACTAAACTGTTGTTTTTTGTCCTGGTCTAAGATTCACTGACCGTGAATTTTAAATGAATAAACTTCGGAATTATTACCATGATTGCTATTGGTGATTAAATCAGTTTTGTTAGTTTCCTAAGTATATATTTGCATTAGTTTCACTAATCTGTATGCATATCATCATCAATAATTATGATTATTATTCTATTCAAATAACCATATCACACAAAAGGTCACTTTCTCTTTCTCACTCTCACCTGATCGCTTTATCTAACTGTCGATACACTTGCATATTTATTGATTAAATTTAGAAAAAAATTACTAGACCCATTCATACCTGTTACATAGTTGAATATGTGCAAAGTTTAGTTTTCAAAATAATAATTAACACAACCAATGAATTAATAACGGAAGTGTATAATGAAAATTAGTGGGTATGATTGGTGTGTCTGTATCTATATTCGGTCTGTGTGCCTTTTTGTGTGTGGGTGTGTGTATTTATTCCATGTTCAACACTCATTCTACTTAATGAGATCATTTTAGCCTATATTGCCTACTAATGATGAAGTTATTTAATTCATGTGAGACTGCTTCGCTAGCTAATTTTTCTCAGGGATGTTATTGAAGAATACGGCATAGAAATGGTATATATTTAGCTTACAATGGGAAATGATCTGTATCATTGATCTAATAATAAAGTGCCATTATCTACTCGGATCATGCATTCAGAGTGGATTAGAAAGCCATAGTAGCGAATTTCCATCCATTGCACTTGGTTCTCTGAAATTAGAGAGTGGAATATTATCAAAATATACCTAGATGCTTGATTAAAATGTCACTTTACTTACTTAATTAAACCTAAATAGCACTATATTAGTACCATAAACAACATATAACCGTGTACCATGTACTAATTGTCTGTGTTTTAGAAACTCCATTCACTGTATCGTAAGTGGTATCAAAATGTAGGAGATTCAAGGTGTATTCTTTGATATGTTGTCTTCATTTGACTGAAACAGTAATATCATTGTGATGCACATGAATGGCAGTAAGGCGTTTATTTCAATACCATCCTCCTCGTCAGTCGGATAAACAGACAGTCTGTACTATGTAAGAATGCTATAAAGTGAGGATAGTAAAAGTTTCAAAAAGAAATCCTCTAGAACAGAGAAGCATTTTACGCTAGTAATCATTTTAGATTTTACCAACATGGTAATCTAATGAAATCAAAGGGAAATTTAAAAGATTAGTTTAAACAATTAATAGCTGCTAAGAGCTGCAGCACAATAGGTAATCCTCATGGCCAAACGGTCTACTAGGTAGTGTGCTTTAGCATTCAAAACAATGAGTGCTGGTGTCGACTCGCAGTGGGAGCACTGCCACTCACTGACAGACGCAATTATATCCATTCGACGAGTCCTAAATAAGAAATAACTTGTGTCCTGGATGCCACTACTTGACATCAGGAAGTAAATGACTTCTTATCTTCATTAAATTGAATTGTACTTCCCAAGGATCGTTTGTGTGTGAATTTTTCCTTCTGTTTGTTGTACTAGAAAGCCAGGAATACATAAACGAACTGTCATAACTATCACTGGCTTATTTCTATCAACGATAGATTGCTTTGTGAACTCTTTTGCATTTTCCTTTACACTTAGTTAACTTTAATTGGAGTTGAAAACTTCTTAATACAAACGAAAATATCATGTATGACTTTGTATATAGATTTTGTAAAACGATTACATAACTGAACTGATGACACACTTTTGGACAATATTTTTAACCTCAATAAATAAAATTCTTGGGAATACACTTACTGACTGAAATATTAATTGTCTTTTATGTAGTTTCTATATACAATCAATACAAGCTATAGTGAACTTTTACATTTATATATAATCATTAGTATTGAAAAGAAAAAAAAGAAGAAATTAACAAACATCTATATTATTGAAAGTTACATAGAAACTTTTCAATATTCTAATTTTACTTTGGCAATATTATTCATCACGTGAGATTCCTTCAGTTATCAAGTACATACATTTCTATATTAAAGATTACATTTCAGTAATAATTATTGGATTTATTACTACATTATTACTATTATTATTTAACGAAGCTGCCACTCACATTCATATGTAAGTTCCAATTTTACCGCAGCCTGAGATTTTCCCGTGGATAGAGTCAATCAGCACACAAATTAATCGTATCTCAACGAGTTATGCCACTTAACGGCTATGTGATGTTGTCGTATGTTGAGTCATTCAAAATGGAAAGTTTATTGAAGCCTTTCAAGTGAAAATATGAACAAGACAAAGCTGCCTACTATCACCGATGATGTTACTGGAACATGCAACAGACCGTGGAGAGCAAGATGATGGACATTCGCTGGACCAAAAAAATGACTTAAGAAGATTCGAACATCGCGGATGAGTTGGGTCAAATGTCACACAAACTAGAAGATCTACAAGCAAAATCCGGTAACTAGCAAAAGGACTGCACTTAAAGTGAATATGAAAAGGACAGAGGTGCTGAAGATACCCATTCAACAACAATGAGCACCAGTCACCATCGGCGGGAGAAATCTAAAGGAATTCATCTACTCCACTTACCTAAACAGCATCGTTGCGACCACAGACGACACAAATTAGAATATCAAAGACAGTCAGGATCCTAAAAGATAAAGTTCGTTAATCTGAAATCAGTGCAAAAATCTTTTGCACTCAATATAAACAATAAGATTTGGATTTTTAACACAACTGTCAAGTCAGTTCTTGTAAATGGTTTGAAGACTCAGTCTGAGCGTCATGGAAGGCACTTTTAACTGGCTAAAAAGATTTCAGAGAACAAAATGAAGTAGCCGCGGGCTATTGAAGCCGTTAGTCCACTCAGAACCCAAGGAAATCAAGATATTCAGTAAACAACAACATCATTAGCGTGAGAGTGTCAGGTTGTGAATTTCACTTTGTGATGTTTGTGACCTATATGAGCTCGTTAGTTTTCATGTTTCCACTATCCATAGATGGTATATAGATTGAAAATAAATCGAACACTAAGCACCTTGGACAATGTGTTTTCTCTTATCCTCTTTGATTTTCTCACATTATGTTGGT